AGGGCAGGGAGCTGTTCCTGTTGGCAGCAGAGGATAGGACTCACAATCTTAGGTTTAAATTAAGGGTGGGAAGGTTGGATATTAGGGAAAACGTTTTTACAGAAGGAGTTCTCCAAGAGTGGAATCAGCTGCCTAGGGAGGTGGTGAACTCCCCCTCACTGGCAGTCTTTAAACAGTGGCTGGAAAAACAATTGTCAGGGATGCTCTGGGCTGATCCTGCATTGAGCAGTGGGTTGGACTACATGGCCTGTATGGCCCCTCCCAACTCTGTGATTCTGAACCTCAGTATCAGCCTTAGAGAGGGACGGCTATGCCCTGTAAAGACTGACTGTTTTAAGGGAGGATTCAGTTCTAAAGCAGCCTTGTCATGTAGTTGCTAATGTGTTGCTTTAATTTAGTCAAAAAAGGGTGATGTGTGTCTGAACTTTTGGGAAACAACCACGAGGTTGTTGAAAGTGATCTCCCCACCCAGGTGGGTCACAACGACAGCAACAGCCAGCACAGATGAGAGCTAGAACCTTTTTTTTCTTATATAAATTTAAAACTGATTTCATGGGAGTCTGAAACGAAGCACTGGCCCCGGTCACACAGCAAAGTTGTCGCGGGAGAGGCACGGGAGTTCCGCGGATTTTCCGGGCGTGATCTCACCTCAACATCTGGGAAGCGCAGTGCTCCCGTGGCAAACCCGTGGCTCCCCGCCGAAGGTGTGGAGTTAAAAACTAGTACCTACGAGGTACTAGTTTCCGGAAACCGCGGGGCAAGGGCGGGCGTCTGACCGCATTTCCGGTAGACTTCCGTGGCATCTGGCAGTCGCCCATGTCCCGTCGCAAAGAAGGGGTTTTCCCCCCATGTCTCCACAGGATGTGCACAAGCACCCAACGGAGCATGCGCACAAACAGAAAGCGGTGTTTGCCACAGGAGCCGCGCGGCGCGAGGGCCGGTTTGAACGCGCCGTGCTGCTTCTTTGTCGCGCTGCGGACTAGCCGTCTGATCTGCACCTGACGCCTACCCACGGGACCTCCAAAGGACTTCTGATCGGGCTGCCGCACGTTATTTTCCTCCAGGGCAATTAGCCACACCTCCCCCCGCATTTTCCGGCCCGTGTGACCGGGGCCACTGTGATGCTTGCAATGGCCATAGCTGCCCAGTCAACAGAAGTCCCGTCCTTCTCCAAATCAGCCCATGCTAGATCGTACCTGCTGCTCATCCTAGAAATCAAATTAAGATCTTTACCAGCACAAAAACAGGAAGAAGACAGAGACACAATACTATTCTAGGCCATGGCAACTGGCCAGGAGCATTAAGGCCCCAATGCATGTACATAATGTAGACCAACATTTACATACACTAGAGAAAAAGAGGTTGGAGGTAATGGGCAGCCAAGGTTCATCATATCATAGAAGCTACAGATGGAGAAAAGATGTAAAGGGACATGTAACGATTGCCACTCCTGTGTGAAGCTGCTGCATGTGCACACTTGCAATCAGGGTGGCCTATCAGTGATTTCTGCCCCCTTCCATTTTCTCAGTGCTCAACTGGTAACTTAGAGACCAAAGCATCAGGGATCTAGACCAAGGACTCTAAAGTATTCCCTGTAAGCTGAGTTCACATGAGCTAGCTCACAGTTTTTTAGCCTTCGGCTCAAACATTTTTGTCTCAGCTCAGGAGGGAGGGCTCCAGAGCAAACTAATCTATGCAGCAGCCAAACTGCTTGCTCACAACTTTAATGCTAGTAGCTCACAAAGTAGTATTTTTGCTCACAGGACTCCACAGTGATGCTCTGTCATCTTGGTGCTTGGGGGGGTCAACAGTGGGAGGGCTTCTAATGTCCTGGCCCCACTGGAGGACCTCCTGCTGGACCTCCTGATGGCACTGGTATTTCTGGCCACTGTGTGACACAGAGTGTTGGACTGGATGGGCCTTTGGCCTGTTCCAACATTGGCATCTCTTATGTTCTCATGTTCACAGCTTAGAGGGAGCATTGGTCACAGGACAAAACTCCACCAGGCAGTATTACGCATACGCTGGTCCTCCCTGGGGGCAGGGTTGCCATCCCCCAAGTGGGCCTGGAGATCTCCTGAGATTACAACTTATCTCTAGACGACAAAGATCAGTTTCCTGGGAGAAAACAGCTCCTGTGGAGGGTAAACTCTATAGCATTATATCCCTACCTTCCAAAAATATCACCTGTCCCAGGCTCTGCCCCTAAATATCCAGGAATTTCCCAACCTGGAGCTGGCAACCTCACAAGGAGCCCTAATGTCAACAGCCCCTTGAAGATGCATTCATACACCTCGATCTGCACACAGCCTTACATTGGCTCGCCAGTGGCAAGTAAGAACTGCTTCAAGGTGGAGAAGCTTTGGGTAGTAAAGGGCGGGGTATGAATCCAATCTCTTCTTCTACACATAACTTCTACTTCATTTTTAAAGTTCTGTTGCAGCCTGATGAACAAGTGCTTTTTTGTGGACTTCTCTGCAAGGCTTCAATGGTGCACCTCTCCTGCGCACAGGGGACAAAAAATACCACACTAAAAGCAAAGATCTGAAGAAGAAGAAGAAGAGGGGGGGGGAGATTGGATTTATACCCCGCCCTTCACTACCCAGAGGAGTCTCAGAGTGGCTTACAAACTCCTTTCCCTTCGCCTCCCCTCCCCACAACAAACACCCTGTGAGGTAGGTGGGTCTGAGAGAGCACTGACAGAAACTGCTCTTTTTCAAGAACAGCTGTGCCGGAACTATGGCGAGGAGGAAGAGGAGGAGGAAATTGGATTTATACCCAGCCCTTCACTCAAAGTCTCAGAATGGCTTACAATCTCCCTCCCTTCCTCTCCCCACAACAGACGCTCGGTGAGGTAGGTGGGGCCGAGAGAGCTCTGAGAGAACTGCTCTTGAGAGAACAACTCTGAGAGAACTGGGACTGACCCACGGTCACTCCAGCAGCTGCTTGTCTATTGGATGTCCACCCCTGTTGACTATATTGACTCTTCTGTGTAGTCTGCCTTGCGTCCGAGAGAAAGGAGGACTATACATAACATCAAAAAAAACTAAGTGACCTGTGCATTTAACAAGATACTCAGCTTCCCTGAGTACAAGGAGATAGGGGAAATGGACATACATGAGGACATCGATGCCAATAAAGGTTTTGAATTGATTGATTGAATTCAGCATTGCACTCAAAGTTGTGTCACATGAACACATGAAGCTGCCTTATATTCAGATGGGGAACAGCTCTTCAGGGTCTCAGACAAAGATTTTTCA